TCTCTTCTCTCTCTTTCCTTCTCTCTTTCTCTCTCTCTCTCCTCTCTTCTCTCTCTCCTCTCTCTCTCTCTCTCTCTCTCTCTCTCTCTTCTCTCTTTCTCTCTTCTCTCTTCTCTCTCTTCTCTCTCTCTCTCTCTCTCTCTCTCTCTCTCTCTCTCTCTCTCTCTCTCTTCTCTCTCTCTCTCTCTCTCTCTCTCTCTCTCTCTCTCTCTCTCTCTCTCTCTTTCTCTTTCTCTTTCTTTCTCTCTCTCTCTCTCTCTCTCTCTCTCTCTCTCTCTCTCTCTCTCTCTCTCTCTCTCTCTCTCTCTCTCTCTCTCTCTCTCTCTCTCTCTCTCTCCTGTTATCATTATAGTTAGCACTACTGCTATGGCGACGCCTATCACTGTTATAGCTATTATCATTAACATCAATTTGATTATTCTTATCATTGTTATTATTATTGCTTGTATCATCCTTATTACCGTTAATATTCCCATTACCATCATCAACATTGATAATGTTACTATCAATATCAGATTTATTTATAACTTTTGACATGCCGTGTCACCTTTAAGAAAAAATAATGATTCAAGCGTAATGACCCTTAATGTAGGGGTAGAGCTAAAGGGTTTTTTTTTTTTTCAAAGCGAACCTGAAAGAAATATAAAACCATCGTAGTAACTTTAAAACTAATGAAAAGATAAATAAATAAAAAAAACAGGGAATTCCATTTAAAAGAAGATATTTTACTCATGATTCCATTTCGCTGCAAACTTAAGTAAAAAAAATAAAAAAAAAAAAAAATAAAAAAAAAATAAAATTAAAACTACATGATAATTAGAAATCGAGGAAACTTTTGTCTTTTATATCTCCATATTTAATTGACAGTCCGGTGGGGATTATTATTTTATTTTATTATTTTTTTATTTTTTTTTTATAAGTATGAGGGGTTGCTATGGGAACGTAAAATATTTGAGCAAAACGAATGTAAATTTTTAAGTTCCCAAAATTTGTGAAAAACAGTTATCAAGTTAAAAGAAATAACGGTGAATTAATTGCTCTTCTTGGTGCTGTATTTATCAT